AGTGGCTAGCTCTACATCTGTGGCGACTTCTTCAGGGCCTACGACCACACCGGCCACCACGTTGTCGACAACCGTTTCGGTTCCGGTTTCTGAGTCTACCAGCTCTTCTGTAGTTTCCTCTGCCCCTGCCTCGACTTCCTCGACAGCGCCAGTCGCTAGTTGCGCGGCAATCACTTCCAACCAGACGTATGACTACATAATCATTGGTGCTGGAGCTGGTGGCATTCCCCTGGCGGATCGATTAAGTGCGGCGGGCCACACAGTCCTTCTTCTAGAGAAAGGACCTGCCTCATCCGGTCGATGGGGCGGTACTATGAAGCCTGAATGGCTTGAGGGTACCAATCTCACTCGTTTTGATGTCCCAGGCTTGTGTAATCAGATTTGGCACGACTCAACAGGAATTGCTTGCACGGATACTGATCAGATGGCGGGCTGTATGCTCGGTGGCGGTACCGCTGTCAATGCTGGTCTGTGGTGGAAGGTATGTGTCAGCCGGGAGAATCATTTCATTTAGTATTAACAGTGATTGCAGCCAAATCCTAAAGATTGGGACTACAATTTCCCCGTTGGATGGCGTAGCGCTGCTATGAAGGCTGCCACAGACCGCGTCTTTTCTCGCATTCCTGGAACAGTCAGGCCATCGACTGACAACGTTCTCTACAGAGACGAGGGATACAAAGTCCTTTCTGGCGGTCTCGCAAATGCTGGATGGACAGGTTTTGATACCCCTAATGATCATCCTGATCAGAAGAACAGGACTTTTGGTCACACGACCTTCATGTTCGATCACGGTGAAAGAGGCGGCCCGATGGCTACATATCTGGTGTCTGCTGCAACCCGCAAGTCCTTCACCCTTTGGATGGAGACAGCCGCGAAGAGGGTCATTCGCTCTGGTGGTCATGTCACAGGCGTAGAGATTGAGTGCAATGGTGCCAATGGACATGCTGGAACTATTCAGCTTACTCCCAATCGTGGCCGAGTTATCATCTCTGCGGGAACCTTTGGCACGTCCAAGCTTTTGTTCCGAAGTGAGTAATCCTGTAATATCCAGTCACTGGTAGCTAACGAGTTCCAGGTGGCATTGGTCCGACTGACCAGCTTGCCGTTGTGCAATCCTCCACGGACGGTCCGACAATGATTTCCACGCAAAGCTGGATAGACCTGCCTGTCGGCTATAATCTCGTTGACCACCTCAACGTAAGTATTTCTCCCAACACGAATATGATCTAAACTGACGATTTTTAGACCGATACAATCATTACTCACCCAGATGTTGTCTTCTACGACTTTTATGAAGCATGGGACGCCCCTATCCCTAGCGACGAGACCAAGTATCTATGTAAGTCGCCTCTGAGCATAAATGCCTAATCCCTAAAGCTAACCAACATGCAGCGAACCGGACTGGCATCTTGACTCAAGCTGCTCCTAACATTGGACCTATGGTAAACATTAGCAACATCAGGTTGAAAAGAACAGCATGGCTAATTCGTGCCTACAGATGTGGGAAGAAATCAAGGGCTCCGACGGTATCGTTCGCCAGCTTCAATGGACGTCTCGTGTTGAAGGCGACTCTTCCTTCACCACCTCAACGCGTATGAGTGAATCTAACCATCACCGTATAATGCCTACTAACAATGTTAGATGCCATGACGATGAGTCAGTACCTCGGTCGTGGCTCTGTCTCTCGAGGACGGACCACAATCACCAAGCGTCTGGACATGACTGTGTCTGTGCAGCCCTTCCTCCACGACGACTATGATAAGGAGGCAGTTATCAAGGGCATCGAGAACATGCAAGCTGCTCTGGCAAACGTTCCCAACTTGACCTGGATCGTGCCTCCACCAAATGTCACTGCTTCCGATTACGTGAACAAGCTCATCGTCACAGCAAATGGACGTCGATCGAACCACTGGATGGGTATGTCATTCACCAAGCAGGCACTTTGAAGTCTCACAAGCCTAACAACCCACAGGTACTGCAAAGATTGGCACCGACGATGGCCGCACGGGGGGTAGCGCCGTAGTGGACGTGAACACCAAGGTATACGGTACCGACAACCTGTTCGTTGTCGACGCATCCATCTTCCCCGGCCAGCCGACTGGTAACCCCTCCGCCATGATTGTCATCGCCGCCGAGGCCGCCGCCCAGCGTCTGCTGTCCCTTGCATTCCCAACACCTGGTCGCTACGGCGCGCAGTGTGGCGGTAAATCCTGGACCGGCAGCTTCACTTGCGCGGCGCCACTGGCGTGCCGTTATGTAGACGAGGACTTGTCGCTGGTAAGTCATAAGTTTGCAGATACTCGAGAACGTACCCTTGCTAATATTTGAACAGTGTGCACAAGCGCCCAAGGTATAACAAGCTGCCCTAATCAGAGGGATAGGGGCGAGGCTCCATTCTATGTATATAATCAGTAAATCCCAATTCCGTGTCTATACACGCGCACCACATGCGTTTCATAAAAACATCAATCAACAATATTTTGAATATCTTGTCTGGCTTGATCTAATTGCAAAGCGTTAATCGAATGAGCATATTTATTCAGCTATATAGCTGCCTGTCGGCCGCGTCAAACCTACGATCTGACCACTTCTCGGGTACATCAAACAACTGAAACGCCGGAGCACTCCTTCCTAGCAACTAAACGCCATCCTGCTTTGCACAATGATGTGGTAATACAGCACTCTATGCCGCCGCGGTCATAAGCTGTCCGCCTGCCTTGAACCCCTTCTTCGCCCGAATCGTTTGGCCCCATGCATTCTCAAAGAGCGTCGGCTTAGGCTTCAGATCGTGGTCATGAAGTCCTAGCTTTCTGACGACCTGGAATGCTCCGGTTCCCACGCTCATGGTCTGTCCCATGATGATGCACTCTGACACACCTTCGATGCGGTCGGTCTTCATCCCAGCTGCCGCCTCGAACAAGTGGTCTGGGGTCTTCTCAAACGACGCCAATTGCAGGACACTGTCTCGCATCTTGGATAGACCAAATCGTGTAATGCCCAACACCTCGCCCTTGTATGTCATGACGTCGGCGAGGAGCTGCATGTGTCGGGGATCGATACCCATCTCTCCCATCACCACGGAGATTTCTTGGGCGATCGTCGTACGCGCGGCCTCGATTCCGAGCACATCTCGGCATTCCATCACAGCGTTGGTTCGCGTCTGCGTACCAATAACTCCTTCGGTATTCATGCATGCTCGCAAGCCGTAACCCTCGACCAGGACAGTGTGCATATTATGCTCATCGGTCTGGATGATAGCACGTGTTGCTTCCGAGTAACCCGAGATGGGCACGGTGGGAAGCACTCGGCGGAGGTGGTTGACTCGTAATAGGAAATCAGAAGCATCCTCCACCGAGCCAGTCTTAGTTCTAGCCTGTTTCTTGAGTGCTGCCGCATCTTGCCATGTGTTCCGGACATGTATTTCGATGAAGTCCGTGCCGACATTGACGTCCCCAGGATCGATCTTTAACTTCTTCTGCTTCAAGATGGCATCTGCGATATCCCTGGTAACTATACCCAGCTGGAGATCTTCCAGTGACTTCCGATCGATTTGCAGAATGATAGTGCCTTTGTCAGAAACCCATTCATCTTCGACGAAGGCCAACACATCCTCTAGGTATGTTTTCTCGATTCGGCCCTTTACTATTCGTGCGACTTGAAGTTCCTTCTTGTTACGCAAGGGGCATGTTATAACTGGTGTGCTGATGGTCTTCGAAGCGTTGATGATCTCCTTGATACGAGGGACACCCTGAGTAATACTCATACCGGCGACACCGGCAAAGTGGAAAGTCTTGAGTGTCATCTGCGTTCCGGGTTCACCAATAGATTGCGCTCCAACGGCTCCAACAGCATGACCGGGTTCTACACGTGCCTTTTCGTACTTCTCCAGACACATCTTGATGAACTCCTGGAGCGTCTTTTCTGAGACCTTCGCAATTCGGCTGCAGCGATCAAGCTGAGCTTGATCCTCAGGCCGTGGATCTATATCCATTGCACCTGCGCTTTGATCCAGTCCTCCGACTAGTCGTGCATTGCGAAGCTTTGTTGCACGGTTGTTTACATAGTCTTGAACTGTTCTCAGGAAGTCTCGTGCGCTTTCGTGTTCATCAATAGCCGAATCAGTCTGGTCATCATAGTCGAGCTCCCTGCCATCAACTAGATGGCGTCTCTTGTATCTATCCCGCTCCTTTTCGAGCATGGACTCACAAAAGGCGGTGATCTCGTCAGGAAGCATTGCGCGATCCTCATTGCTCCATGTGAGATTCTCTGCATGAGTCCAGGTCCGGTCGAAATGCACCGGTCTCGCAGAACCCTCCATATCGACAGGGTCAAGTTTATCAGCACCATACTGGAATTGTACGATGCCGCCGCCCGATGTGCGCACAGTGTCGTCGTAACGCGTCGATAGATCCTCTAAAGATTTCATAAGTCGTCTTGACATGTAACCAGTCTCAGCTGTCTTAACAGCAGTATCAACCAGGCCTTCTCTTCCTGAGATAGCGTGGAAAAGAAACTCTGTAGGTACGAGACCAGTGTAAAAACTGTTACGAACGAAACCTTTCGAAGGAGGTTGTCGAGCATTCTTGTGGAAATGTGGCAAACTGCGGTCTTGAAAGCCATCAGGCACACGCTGTCCGCCAATAATTTGCTGTCCGACGCAAGCAACCATCTGAGCAACGTTGATTTCTGAGCCCTTGGAACCGGAATTGGCCATAGTGAGTGGAGCATTGTTGCGACTCAAGTTGTTGTAACACTCTGTACCAGCAGAACGTCGAACACCACTGAGAATTCCAGAGATCCTATTCTCTAAAGTTTGTTCCATGTTGCATCCTGCAGCTTTTTCAAGGTCTCCCTCCTTGAACTGCGTGATCAGCTTGTCACACTCCTTGTAGGCAACCTTGACCAGAGTTTCCTTAGCCTCTGTCAGTTGCTTACTAGGAAAAACATCGCCGACACCAATTGAGAACCCTCGCAAAGTCAAGAGTCTGGCACACAATTTTGCAAGCCGATTCATTGCCACGACTGCCGCATCTGGGCCAAAGTCTCGAAGGAGTACGTAGAATAACGAGTCTTTCTTTCCCGCGCCAACAATCGACTTGTCCATACGACCACACATAACTTCAGAGTTGCGAATTACCAGCCAACAATCATTTGGACACATATCGTTGGCCCAAGGTTCCTTGTATGGAGACATCTCTCGTGGCTTGGGTGGCGAAAACTGCTTACCCTTTGCATCCAAGTTGACGAGGATGTTTGTTGACTTGTTGGGTCGCATGAGCATATTGAAGACTTGTTTGCCAGTCCACAAAGCTTTAGGCTTCCAAATGGTTGGAGGAGGCAAATCAAGATGCGTCTTTCCGTCCATCATATGCATACAAATGTAGGTGAAGGTTTTGCGGTCATAGAATCTGTCCTTCAGACTTAGGAGATATGCAGCAGTGATGAAGTCCTGCGTCGCAGCAATGATAGGTTCACCGTTCTTCGGCGTCGCAAGATTATGTTTCACTCCCATGAGAGTTATAGCTTCAGCCCTAGCCTCCTCGGTTTGTGGGACATGTAAATTCATCTCGTCACCATCGAAATCGGCATTGTATGGTGTGCAGGCACACTCGTTCAGTCTGAAAGTTCTCCAAGGGCGTACTTTGACAAGATGGCTCATGATACTGAGTTTGTGTAGGGACGGCTGTCGGTTGAAAAGGACGATATCGTTGTCTTCGAGATGGCGCTCTACGATATCACCATACACTAGGTGCTTTGCAATCTGATGTCGATCGCCGTACTTCAACTGCATCTTGTAGCCTCCTTCCTCGGCCTTAATGACTTGCTGAGCGCCAGGATGGACATCAGGCCCGTTGATGACACACTTCCTCAGCTTCTCAATGTTATTTTGCTGTACTCTCTCCGGATAGGTCAAGTTCTTTGCAACTAGGATCGGAATAGCGACCTGATTAATGCCGAGATTGGGATCTGGAGAAATGACCGTTCTTCCGGAAAAATCAACACGCTTTCCAGAAAGATTGCCACGGAATCGACCTTGCTTGCCCTTCAGCCTCTGGCAGAAGCCCCGGACAGTTTTGCCAAAGCCGGGCTGCGACAGACCAGGTACGTCACTGTTGACATACATAGCGATCTGCAGTTGAAGGTACTCCCATTGCTCCATAATGGTCTGGATGGGTTGCCCCTTGTCCAGCGCTGCCTTAATCAAGCCGCTAATGTAGACGATCTCAGCGAGCTTTGTCGTCAGATCGTCCTCGGTGCTGGCATTGTCTTGGGCGACAGAAGGTCTGATACAAATCGGCGGAGCGGGTATGAACTGCCAGAGAAACATCTCTGGTCTGCCTTCCGCCGGGTCCAGCCCGAGAAGTTCGCAGTCTGTGGGACTAACCATTTTGAAAAGGTTGAGCACCCGGAGAGGGTTTAGGTCCTCCATCGCTTTGCGGAAATGCTTTTCAATCTCGGAGTTAAATTTCTTGGCCTCGCTGAACGACGCATCGAATAGGATCTTGCTCTCTGGCGGGACCTTCTTCTGAGCAGTGGACTTGTTGAAAGCTGAGAACTTGTCGTGTGCCAGCTTAAGCACTCCCATCTTCCTGATCTGTCCATTGACTGCATGGCAATAAGGGCACTCCTTGACCTTCTTACACTGCTCGTTGATCTTCTTGCATACTTGAGTCCGCCGAAGATTGTCTATTCCAGGTCGCCTCAATTCTTTCAAGAAGGATCGTCGCTCGGGTTCAGTGAGGAGCACTCGACCGCAGCATTTGCAGATGTTTTGAAGGATAATCATGACGAATCGTAGGTAGCCGATATGGAACGCAGGTAGGGCCAGTCTGACATGACCGAAGTGCCCAACGCAGAGCTGCAGTGGCTGCAAGCAGGTATTGCATTTGCCGGATTTGCTCGACGTACCCTAAGCCAGCCGTTTCGTTAGCCAAGAGATCAAATTGTTGCTCAGAGGAGGTTCATTGTCATACCAAGCGCGGGTCAAGAGCGCCATGGGTCAATGGTGCTCTGTTGTTCTCGATATCATACAACATGCGCTGCGAGACCTCCAATACGCCCTGACTCACAATGTCCTGGTTCGATCTGGGAGACACATAAGGTTAGAATGGATGCAATTGCAGCACGCAATTGCGACGCAGTGGCCTTACTGGATGCCAAACTTGATGCCCTTGAACCGCTTGGGGAGCTGGTCGACCAGCTGCTCCTTGACGGATTCCGGCATCTTGTCGTTGTTGTTGTCGGTGTACCCTTTCTCTGTCCTTGTGGTGCCTCGCCCTCCTCAGAAACTGCTGGCTGCCAGCTTGCGCCTGATGCGCAAACCAAATAATGGTCACCGTCTAGGAGGAATGAGGCTTCGGTATAATCCCATCGCTAACGCTGCCGAGCGTGACGGTAATCGCGGATCGTTTGTTCGGATTGCGGGTGTAGAGATCGTGAAGTTTTGTGGTGAAGCCTTTGAAGGTTGAAGATCGAAAGGTCTCCAAAGGTGGGACAAATTTTCTGCTGCTCGTACCCCACCAAAGTAGGTAGCTATCGGCCTAAGAGTCACTATCTGACGGCCGGGCTTAGCGCAGAAAGTGGCGTTGGTAGGGAGCGGTTGACCCCGCCTTCTACCTACGTATGCCGGGATAGTGCAGTTCCAGGTCACTTGCGGTCCTACGATCTTCCAGCTTCCCCCCACCTGTCCCTCTGTACCTCCCCTGTAGGTGGGCAGGAACAGGCGCAGCGTGGCAGCTGCACGCGTTTCGGTTGGAGCAGGGAGCACAAGCTCCGGGCGTCATCGCTTTAAGTGACCTTTATTACCTATACGTAGATCATCGGCGTGGCATGTGAACAGCCTCCATCCCAGGTCCAACTTGGCCTCATACATGTTTACATGTAAATACACCCCAATAGACCAACAAACTCATATTCCACAGAATTTCCAATCGATTGTTTTTTAAACAGAAGATCTCCTCTCAGGTGTTCAGAGCGCCTGGACGTCACAGAAGGCGTGGAGTGAGTGCAGCAGGGTTACCTATACTCCTCGTCCTAAACCGCCGTCTTCACATTGGCGCCCCAGTCCAAACGGCTTCTCTCTCTCGCCAAACGACTGGCTGAAAAGTCATTCCGCCGAGAATACACAAGAATCTGGTCTCCCAAAAGGCCTGTCGCCGGGTGGCAGTCCGGCCCAGCGAGTACCATGGCATCCACGCCCGGCGACAAGAAAGCCGAGAAGTCCACCTGGGCTTCCGCCGTCGACTCCATCAATCCCTGGGCCGGAAGCCGCAGCACAACTCCAACGCCCAAAGACCCAGCCCCGAATCCGCCGCCGCCGCCGCCGCCGAACCCAGGAGACCATAGTGTTAAGCCAACATACGGCATTAGCTTGAGCAAATATCCCCCAGACTGTCCCCCTCTGAAGGTTCAATGGTTTCATGCAGTCGACGTATGTAGCCGCGTCTTTAAGTATACCCTTCTGCAGCGTACTGACGACATCACTCCAGGTCCCCAAACGAAAGCCTCAGTTCCTGAAAGGCAAAAAGAAACCCCAAGATCCGAAATCCGATATCCAGCCGAAGAAATTCAATGTATTTTCCGCAAGAGACTCGCAAGCCATCGAGCTTGCGTATCAAGAATTACTGGAGAAAACGGAGACTGGACAGAAGTTACCACTGTCTCGACGGGACTTTTCCTCTGGGTCGCGACGAGGGCGGGCAATATCGGGAGAATCGGTACCAAATACGAGCATTGAAGCAGAAGAGGACGATATACAGCCAAGCACGAGGGTTCCAGTCAACGAGGACTTCCTCTTCGATGTAGACATAGAGAACCGCGAACTGGCACCGGCCTACTGGCTCGGTCCCATATATGAGGGTATAACATCTGGTCACAGACTTCCATCATCGGGCTTACTGACAACGAGTAGTACGACGAGGAAGCTGGTTCTACCAAGAAGGCTCAACCCTGCGTCCCTGCGAAGAGAACTTGGCGGCCCAACTGGAAGAGGTGAATAAATCTGGTAGTCCATTCAACGTTAGAGTGACTAAAAGTTGTATCTAGGGTTATCTTAAGTGCAAGCCATGGCGATATCCTGGTGAGTTAAATGAGCCACCGAGGAAAAGGCGCAGAATTAACTCCTGGTTAGTCCCAAGAGCTCGTAGTAACTCGGGGGCGCAAGACGTAACACCAAAGGCATCCTCCGAGAACCTCAAGGCAAAGAACGTCTCACAGAAAGATGTCTCGACGAAATCAATGCCACCGCCTCCTGCACCACAAACACATCGGCTATTCGGAGCGTGGATGAACTCAATTGCAACCTACCAGGATTCTAGCACCGCATTCATATCCTCTGAGGGAATGCTTTCGTGGGTCACCACAACGATGTATGAACGATTTGCTGGTGGTGGTTATATGAGTGGTGTCAAGATAGTACGAGGTTACACAGAACCAGGGAAGCCCATAAAAGACACCAAGGATGGGAAACGTCCAACTACTCCGACGGGGACGAAGTCAAACCAGGAACGTGATGAGAAGCAGGAAAAGCTTCTTAAGAGGAGGTCAGCACCTCCAAGCACGCGATCGGAAGCGCCCGAGGTTCAAGATTTACAGGACGACGCACCGCCATTCGAGAGTCGTGGTGACCAGTTAAAACGGCAGCTTTCCTCCCTTATAGAAAGTGAAAGCAGGGATCCAGATGAAGAGGAAGAAGCCATTCGCCAGAGAGAGGAGAAGGAGATTCAAGACGACTATAATGCAAGGGCTGGTGAGACGCAAGGCCGTGATATTGAGCATCTTATCCTCATTACTCATGGTATAGGTCAGCTGCTCGGATTAAGGTGAGAATTCCTCTCCTTTCTAACGCGTGACGGAACTGATTTTCAGCAGGATGGAAAGTGTCAATTTTGTTCATGATGTCAATACCTTGCGAAAGACACTGAAATCCGTGTATACTACATCTGCAGATCTCAGGGCTCTCAACGCCGAGATTGGTGAAGGGCCCGGGAACTGTCGCATTCAAGTGCTACCGGTATGTTGGCGGCACCTGCTTGACTTTCCTAAGAAAAGGGAGGAGAAGAAGGGCGAGCAGGACATTGGGGATGTGTCCGGCGAAGAAGACGAATGTGAGTGCAATACCATCTCGTTAGCACAATCACTAACGGTTCCTACACAGATCCCAGCCTGGAAGACATTACGATTGAAGGCGTGGCGTTTGCCAG